TGGGCATGATAAACATCTATGCTTCAACTTGAGGGGGAGTGTTACAGACTAAATAGTTATGTAGCCTTACCTATAGGGACCTTCATGTAAATAATATTATATGTAAATGTAATAGACTTATGAAATAAGATAGAAATTTCTCTCTCTTCAATCTCGGTTTCACTGATGAACCACAATTATCAAGTTCACAAATCTATCATTCACAGGCAAAACATTTATGAGACGTTTTGCAATTTTAGATCTCATGAAAATGAAATAAATACTCGAATTGACAAAACAGTAAGTTGTGAGGATACAAAATAAGAAAAGACCAGCCAATAGATTAATTTAAAAAATTGAATAAGCAATATACCTGGTTGAAGAGCAGTGAATCTCTCGGAAAATAGTGTTTTTTTTTTAATTAATTAATTTTTATTATGGAGAAAGAGATTCTCAAAATGCTGCTCTCAACTTCTACCACCCACATTAAACCCAGCCCCAGTCCAACCGGGAGCTGCAGGACCTCTACCCTTAGGTATTGCTCCTATCCCCTTTAGTCTCCCTTGGAACATACTTTTCTTCTTCCCTCTTCCCTCTCCATTGGTTACAGACTGTTGGTTTTCACCATTTGTTAGGGGAATATTACTAAAATCCCCTTGATTAGATATATTTCTCACCGATCCACCAGCTGGTTCTGATGTGCTTTGAATTTCTGAAGCATCTTGAATTATACTAGTCTGTGCTGGTTCCCCTGGGTTCACACCCTAAACATAGAATTCAACCAAAAGCCATGCAGCTTTTCAGTAAACATGAATGTACAAGCAAGTGCAGCTCAATTTTGCCGTGTAATTAGTTCACCCCCGTCAGATGTAGTTAGTAAATATAAAATACCGACCATTGAATTAGAGAGTGAACTAATCAATCTCAACAGCATTGGCTGAAATTCATATGGTAATCTTAAAGAAGTGAAAGTCCAGCATCTTGTAGGAGTTTATTTAACAACAATGAGAAATGTGATCTAAGAATGAATTTTTTAAAGCCTAGACGGTCAAGTTAAAAAGAAGATTACAAAGATATGCAAAATTTGACCTTTCCTGATTGCATTGGAAGTAAAATGAATTTGTGAACATTTTGAAATGAATAAATGTAACTTTTCCCATTATGTAAATCAATAGTAATCACAATAAGATTGGGATCGAGCTTCTTAATAGTTTTCAATTTGTTAGTACTAATCACAACTAAATGTGCGTTACACGTTATTTTGAAATACTTTATAAACAGTGTAAAAATGATATTTGAAAATTAGTGAATATAAAAAATAATTAAAAAAAACTGTTTATGTGAAATGAACTTTTTATACAATTCAATATCCTTCCCATCTGTGCATTTTGGGCCAAATTCTTTACCCACTTCTTATTGAACAAATGAAATGACTTCCAAAAATATAGTAAGCCTTTCTCCTCATTGTTGTTCACTACGCAAACATGCTAATTATGAAGTACAACGATCAATTGAAGAGAGAAAGCCTATCATATAGTAATTGTATCATGCCCCTTGAAAATTGTGTGGTTACTAACAGCTAAAAACTATTATCAGATTAGGACTGTTAAAGGGTTGGATTTTGTTGGAAAATATCTAACAGCTAAGGAACAAGAACCACCAGGAAAAGGATGCACACTTGGGCATAGTTAGGACCCGAATCTCATACAAATTCAGAAATAATCTCCTACATAAAGCTATACAGGAATTCAAGCTTACAGAGGTCACGTTGGTGGACAATCTGTTAGGATTTAAAGCCTCCAGCCGCCGTTTCAATTCCTCGAGTCTAGCAAACTGTGCATTACTACTTTCTTGAACCTATAAACAAGAATTGTTTACAGGAAACATATGCAAAATCAAACAAGTTAAGGTCTCTATAAAAGGATTCCTACCAGATTATTTAAATCTTCACAAAGCTTCTGCTTAATTGCTTCCTCATCCTTCACAGTTTTTGCTGCTGCTTCCCACACCTAGAATTCAATATAATATTGATTAGAGAAACTAAGAAACTATGAACGGAAGTCAAAAAATCAATAAACCTGAAACTGACAACATTTCCTATAGTGACAATTAAAACAAGAAGGGCAAAAGAGGAAAAGAAAAACACTGAACGTGGATAATCTGTACATTAAAAAGCTCAAGGTCCATCCTTGAACTTTAGTAGCATAATGGGCATAAAAATTCATAGAGTACTAGGTTTTCTACATTGACAAATATTTCAGGAAATCACATTCATGGGATAAGAGAAGAACAAGACACAGATTTTGAATTATTTTTTACCCAGTCTGAAACATGTTTCAAAATTCTTTTTCCCCTTGCCAAGTATACAGAAAGATTATTACATGGCTCAACCATAGGCGTGGAGGTATGAAAGAGATTCTACCTAGTGCCCAAGAAACGTTGTTATCTTAAATTTGAGAAGAGTCCAAATCTCCTGGTCGATGTTATTATTTTAAACTTCAGTTCTTACATTTTCCTAATTCTCCAATTTATAAAGTAAAGGTTGTTCACTTGTAACCATAACTGGTGCACTGTCAAATCTTCTTTGACTGAATACACCACCCTCAAGATGATGCCATTAATTCACTAGAATAAAGATCTCAAAGTACTGAACAATATCCAAATAAAAAGAAGCGAGCCATACATCCAGTAGGCAGTAACATAATAGGAAACCACGAGAGAGGGGCATGTTGTATGAAAATTGCTCTGTCATGAATATTTTGTGCACTTAGAATTTGGGCAAAGGTCCAAGCCTGGATATAATCTAAAAACGACATACCTGTTTTGTCTGTGATTCTTTCAGCTTAGCAATACGAATTCTCTCGGTCGACATTTCAATTTTCTTTCGCATGTGTTCAAGTGCTGATAGTAGGAAAGAGTGTAGCCAGACTCATCAGGACATATTTATAGTACGTAAAGTAGCAAAGACAGACTCATACCAGCTTTCTTTGGCCCAGAAGTAAGCTTCATCTCCATGGTGAGATTCGATAATTCTCGTTCAACATCCCGAATCTTGGAATAGTTTTCTTCAATGTATCTGGAAAGATGCACCGGATGTATCATGAACATTACTAGATAAGATAATTGAATATATGAATACCTAAATAACAAATCATGACAGTTCAACCATTTTAAGGGAATTCCTATGAAAGCCTATTTTTCCACAAGGAAACAATAGATAACCTTTTAGCAAGATCCTAATTTCAACCAAGAAACTAAAGCTCACAATATATGACAATTATTGCATGTGAACCTTCCTTATAATTTAATGCTAATTTCTTGCAAATTCTAAATGAAATTTTCAAAAGCAACTATTGCAGAAGTCCAGTAAAACTTTATTTTTCGCTATGATTGCTCTTTATCAACTCCTGTAGATTTTGCCGTACATGGATTACCAATTCAGAACTTTGCAAATGCAAATTTCTATATTTCCTTTGCAGTTCCACAACGCAAGACGTCTGAACCTTGTTACATCATATCTCGTTTCTGCGAACTAAGAAGGACACAATGCATGTTAAGTGATTCATCTCAAAGACTTAACAACTTCATACACTTTATACTAGCAAAAGACACCCACAATAAATAGTGGGTGTCATTAGCTTCCCAAGATATAGCTTCTATAAATGTCTCCTGAAAATTTGGACCTTATATTCATCCACTAAATTTTGTATTTCCAATTAGACCATCCACAGAACAAGATGTAAGAACGTAATTGAAGCTGGCGGTCAACTCAATGCTAGGACCTTTTACGTGGTTGGAGGTGACCCAATATCTTGTCTCAATTAGCACAAAGTGTGGAGGTGGTGTGTAGAACCTGGTTGGAGGCAAAGGAAGCAAGTGGCTGGGCACCTTTTGCAGAGGTCAATTACTTAAGCACTAGAGTGGTTGGTGATTGACATCAAGATGGACACCAAATTGTGGTGTTGGGGGTAAGAACACTCAGATGAGAGATGGAATATCAGTAATATCACTTTTCTTTTAGAGGCAACAGATGGTGAGTGATTTTTTCCTACTTTGGAAAAGAAAAATGGGCAAAGCGGGAGGCTTGCTGACTAAAGTTACAGAGGCAACATCGATATTCGAAGAGTGGTACTTGATTATTTCAAAGGAAACATATTATATATTCATTGCTGTTATTGTAGGAGTCATTCAATTTTGAAGTGGTGTAAGAGATGAGTACTATAGGAGTCTAATTAGGTTCAGATAAATTGCTACTGGGTCACTCTGGTGAATTGATCTTCTGAAATGAGCAATCTAGAAGAGCTGTTAGAGATTGACTGTCAAACAAGATTAATGAATTTCTTTCTTCAGTTTTTAACATGAGGATCAACGGAAAATGGACAAATATGATGGTTTTTATGCCCTGATTGGAGCTTGAATAAAAATCTTTTGGGTTGGGAAATTTATGTGTAGTAAATGAGTTGGTTTATGCACAGTCAATTACTGAGCATTAAATCTCAATTCAAAGAATCTGGAGCGGGAACTTCATCTTTGCGGTTGCAGCTGCTTATGAAACCAAGTGATTTAGTTCTGGTGGAAGACACAATTTTATGTAAAGGGGCTGGGAGAAAAGTTAAGCATTTTTCCTCCACACTCCCCTTCATCTGCGCAAAATATGGAGTTTGATATTTACAACTGGTTGTCATACAGTATTGCAATCTCAGATGGGGACAATCCTATGTAGACTTCTTGGCAAGTAAAAGGCTGTAAAGTTGATCCATGGTCTTGATCCTCCAAATTCACTACAAAATCTAAAAATGACTGGATGTGTTTTTTGGATAAAAAGTTCTGTTACAGCCTTACAGATAGGGGATAGATTCTGATTTTTCTTGCATCCTCCTTGAATAATATAAAGCTTCCCCTTTCCTTCCTAAACGAATTACTGATTTATCAAAATTTTGGAACATTTAGGAAAGAAGAATTATGTAATCTAGCACTACATTGTGGAATGGAAATTTAAGAATGTAATACCATATACTTTATAATTTTATGTGATCCAGTTTAGAGACATAAAATATTTAATTTTACAGGGCCACTCTAAATGCTTGTTGTTTCTCAGCACGTTGTCGCAGTTTTAAAACATAATCTTTTTTCACTGAATTAAACTTTATATATTCAGTTATTTCTAGCCATACATAGCAGGTAATTGCACGAAGCTAACTCTTTTGCCATTCTGATTACTAAATAATTGTTCATGATGACTAAAGCAATACAGAAACAGAATAATCAATTAATTCTGCAACATTGTATACTTAAACTCCTTAATCCATGAAACATTCAGCAAGGCAAACCGATCAGTAGTTAACACATTAGAGTACCCTAGAAATGTAAAGGATTTAAGCTCTATTATGATAAAACATAAAATTTAACTTAAATATGACAATATAAAAGCAAGCACAATTCGGCGACGAGAAGAAAGTTAACATACTTTCTCAATTGACGCTGCTCTTCCTCTATTATCTGAAACCAAAATACAACATAAATATCACAATATCAGTACTCCATTCATACCAATTCACCATGCACTACATGTGCGTGTGTGTGTTTCTGTAAATTCTGAAATAACCTTCTCTGTGTAGGCGATGACGGGTGATTCTCGGGCCAGGCCATCGGGCCCGATCTCTGGTAACAACAACGGCCTGGCATTGTAACTGTTATCCGGACTCGGGTTCCAATTTGAGTTAGTTGCCATAGATGGATCTCGTTGATCAAGGAATCAAATTTTGTTAAAACTGATTTGGTTCAGAAATTAGAGATAAGTTTTGGAGTTCCAGTAACGGGATTTGGGTAAATTGGTGAAACTATTGTGAACAATGCACATGGCATTGCTGGTGTTCGCTTTCGGGTGAAGGTAACTCGTTATTTTTCTGGCGGCAATATAGGGTAAATCGCGCGCTCGGCGCTCCATGAAAGCCTTTGAAACGATTTCTTTGGCCTCTTTTTCGCGTGTTTGACTAAACTTTTCGAAACTAGCATTTGGCTGAATTATCCCGCTTAAAAAGGGGAAATTATAAAAAATCAAGTATAAAGTTTACTTTTTAAAAATCAGGTGCAAAGTTTGTTTA